CAGTCCATCGTTCTTGATTGTACTTCAGCATTTGCTTTTGGTGTTCCACTCTCCCTTAACTTCCTTTCGGACGCGGCGGCTCGCCAACACTGGTTTGACCTGTTCAACACCAGCTTCCCAAATGATCAATCATCGTTCTGGCCTAGGGAGCACCCGCAGCTTACCAAAATACTCTGCTTCTTGGGTGTCCATGTTGTATCTAACAAGGTCACTGAAGCTCGTCGCGAGTTTGAGGATTGGGCTCTGCTGAAAGTTGATGCTGCCGAGGAGGTCTTACAAAAACGTGACAGAGGGCAAACCATAGAAGTGGGAAAGTTACCGGTGCTGTGCGATGCTGTATGGTCGGATCTAGCAATGATGCATAGCGAGACGGCAAAAGTGCGCTTCTCGATGTCTCCAGCTCAGCGCAGAGAGCTTGCGAGTGAGTGCCTCGACCATATTGGTGAGTAACCTTAGATGGCAACCATTTCAGTACACAATTAGAAAGGGTTAACGTCGAATAGCTTTTACGACTGAAGCATTTGCAACAGTCCTGACGTATATGATTTATGAGATCTCGCATCATCAAGAAATTCAAAACGAGCTCCGGGCGGAGCTACGTTCAGCCGATAACCCTCTTCTTGACAACGCGGGCGACGGAACCGATATACCGGCGTCCGACATCCTTGAGCGGCTTCCCCTCATGAGTGCGATAATAAAGGAGTCCCTTCGGCTCCGCAATACATCACCAAGTGCCGATCCACGTGTCACACCTGCCCACTGTACCTCTCGGATCGGCCTTATCCCAAACGTCCCCCCTAAAACACGTGTTTGCAGCTACGGCTGGTGTCTTCATCGCAATCCGGATGTCTATTCCAACCCCCTTTCCTGGAATCCTAAGCGCTGGCTTTGTGGAGGGTGTGATGATGCCGCCTTGGCTAAAAAATGGTTCTTTGCCTTTGGTGCTGGCAGCAGAAACTGCATTGGTCAGAACATCGCCTTAGAGTGTATGATATCTCCTTTTCCCAATATTTATACTACAAGTTACTAACACTATTGGACCGGTATAGTAATGCGAATGTCTCTCGCTACTATTTATACAAGCAACGCTACCTTCGTTGCTGATGAAACTCAGTATCCTGGTGCTAATCGGCCTATGAACCCGGATCTCAGCGATCGGCTTTTCATAAAATTTGACAAACTTGATTGATCGTATACCATGAGTAGATACAGACGAAGGCAGGAAAAGACCGAAGGGAATAACAGGCAATAACTGTATTGACACCGAAACGAGGTAAAGTAGATTTCGCTTGTCACTCTAGTGATAGGCACATCTCTATATTACTATAGAAAGTTATTGACAAAATCTCAGAAGTTCTGGAGTTAGAAAAAAAAAACTCAACCTTCTCTTTATATTGCTAGGCTTTGAATTATCTGTTTTATTTCAACCGGCCAGTGGCATAGGACTTGGCCTTCACACCTAATTTGCCTAGTTTGTGAAGCATAGGTAGATCCTTTCTTTGTACCAAACCACATGATTGCTCAATTATACTGTATGGAAGCTCTCCTCAATGCCGGCTCGGGATCGTCCACATGACCGATAACGGCTACGGTCTCTGCTCCGCCGCTGGGTGCGTATGGCATATGCGGGATGAGACAGTCGAAAGGTGAAGTATTAACTGTCGTTACAACAGTTGCATTAGTATGACTGGGGTTCACGGTATTATTATCGACGCATAGCGTCCTATAGATGGATCCTATCAGAACCAGCAGGACAAAGCCCCTCGGAAGCGACGCTATTATGATTTGTGCCAAGATAGGGAGACATGCACCTACCCGTTGACAGCTCCAAGTATAGCAATTGCGTACCATAGTATTGAATCTAAGCGTAAGCCTAGAGCTACGCCACGTAAAAATCATACGCATGTCCTGATAACAGGCTACGGAAGTAGGTAGTGCGTGCGTCGGGTGTGAGGTGACATACCCGATGTAACTGAGTCACCGAGTTTTGTTAAAATATCTTTTAGTTTTTAAACACACTACCTACGTCAGATTTTGACTCTCGCCCTTCCGTTGCCTATCTCTATTTTCAACCTGACAAGCAATTTTGGTGAACCGCGGGTCAGCTTTTACAACATGCAAAATGGTTTGTAATTAACGTAGCTAGAACAATAAAGCACTAGAAACAAGATAGCCTTGAGTAAACTATCGTCAAGATATTATCTAGCATGCTGGAGTGCGTGAGTTCCCGACATCGCTTGCTCTCCCTATACTAGGGGAAGTGAGGCAGTGAATCAATCTCGGGAGGCTACAGCATGTGAGGGTAATTTTCGGGTAGCTACCTACGTGTTGGCGCCACGAGAAACAAGATCCAAACACAGAAAACCAGCCCTTCTTCCCCGAGTAAAAGTCAGTTACAAAGCTAATCTTGCTAACCCAATCTTCCATCCACTTCAACTCAACGTTACCCAGCGCCTCAACACCAATGCCTGCTAAGCTCACTTTTCCTAGAAGTCAATGCGATGGCAACGTCAGACCCAAGATTAGACATTCCCTCCCATTCTGCTGCTCCGGATATGGCACTATTGCATTCTCACAACGACGACGCGCCTATAGGTCACACGAGGTAGCCGATCCAACTGCACCCCGCGAGGAGGTCCGGTAGCGACTTCTCTGTAGGCCAGAAGGCGCTGAGTGTACCTTTCGGTCGCGATTCCACCACTTCTCTAATTGATCTTGATGCTAATTTATCAAAGATTGACGTGCGATTGTTAAGTGTGATTTCGGGCACTAGGTTGGCCTACTCTGATGCGAAAGACTTTCGATATAGAGCCGCTTATACTTAAAGATCCATCGGATAACAGGGTATAGGTTCTCGAGACGAGGTAAAAGACAAATTACGACGTATATCGTCCAGTCAGCGAGCAACTTGAGTTTGCTGTCCATATGAAGACCCTACCTGTCCGCTAAGCAAGACATACTTCTAGCTATACTTAGGAAGCAGGGTGAAATATCAGTCCTCACTATTCTCCCTTGACTACCTGTAGTAATATCTAAGTGAATCTGCATAATCGGGTTAACGATGCGAGCTCTGGTGTCACCCCGTCATAGCGAACGATTGCCAACTCACTGCGGTACACGATCGCATTTCTAATGATGCCATAAGCATATGAACCCTCTTTCCACTGAGTTTGGGGAAATACCAGCTGTTATAAGCAATAGTCTACGGTGAGTTGATTGGTTCCAGGATTTACTTCAAGCGTTGCCCGTTTGAGCTCGCCGACAATTTAGTCATACCGAATAATCTTTGACAGATCATTCTGATATAAAACCTCCTACTCGGTGGCTATCATCTTCAATCCTTAAAGGTGTTAGTGATCATTTGACCTATATGTCTATGAGTTAGAGTCAATACATCGATCCAGAAATAACCTCTATAATCTTTACCACTTCGTCAATCAATTCAGATGAACCCAGTCAACACAAAACCATACCAGCTTCCCGCTAATGCAACCTGGTTCGGTATGGAGCCCGTCATTTTCATTGACAGAGCTAACGTCAGAGCCATAGTTACCGGGTGCTCTAGCGGCATTGGCCGCTCAATCGCAGAGCTCGTGGCCAGTAAGTCTGGTCAGCGCCTCATAGCGACGGCTCGAAAGCTTTCGAGCCTGTCATACCTTCCGGACAACGACGCCATTCTCAAGTTGACCCTAGACGTTGCATCACCCGCATCGGTTGAGGCCACTTTCAAGGAGGCGGCAGACCACTTCGGAAATAACTTTCATATCGATATCCTCGTTAACAACGCAGGATATGAGCTAGCCGGCGACACAGAGGCAGCGACCGAGGAGGAAATGCATGATCAGCTTGAGACCAATTTCTTCGGCACCGTGCGCGTAGCTACGAACGCTACTAGAGTGATGCGGCAATCGAAGGACCATCACGGGGGCATCATTTTCAACATTTCCTCGCTCGCTGGCGTGGCCGCCTTTCCCGGTCAGTCATTCTACCACGCAAGTAAGTTTGCCGTGGAAGGTTGGTCGGAGTCTTTTGCGCGAGAGTTGCATCCGGACTGGAATAGTGAGTTGACTTATCGTTTATTCTTATACATTAGTTACGTACTGATTGACCCCTTTTTCTTCACGCTAGTCAATATCTGCATTGTCGAACCGGGCGGTGTGAAGACAGAGTTTGAGCATGGCAGCAAGAAGTATACCAAGGTTCATGAAGCATATGACGGAGACGACATGCCAGCACGCCGGTTGGCTGCTTGGGTTAAAAAGGGTGTGGCGGCCGGTGCTGGTGTTCCACCCTCTGCCGTAGCTGAGGTTCTGTACCTGGTCGCCAGCCGCAACGAAACAGTCCCTCTCTGGCTACCATTAAGCAGTACGGCTGCCCAATTGATAAAAATGAAGTTAGAGGCACGCCTCGAGAATTTGGAGGCGGTGAAGGACCTGACACCTATCGACAAGAAGTAAGCCAGGTATTAGTTAGGTCGAGTAAATCTTTCTTTCCATTACCTCTGATGCTTGCTTAGATACAACAGAACAACGATAAGGCATTATACTCCAGCTTAGGTTCCCTCCCATCCATAGACTATGTAATTACCTGTATTTACAAACCACACGGTAATATTATTAGTGATCTCACTACTACATCTCGCCCTATTCTTTATCTTCATCTCTTCACTACAGGAACTAATAATTACGGCACATATCACTGGATAGCACAATATTGTAACTCTTAATACTTGGTTCTCGGTTAACTTTCACAGCTTTTAAGTCATAGGGATAGAAGCTAGTTTGGACTTTTTAGGCCCTTAGTAACAAATCTCATGTTGATAACGTTGAATTAAATGATGACCACCATATGACTAGTGTCACTTATCAATTTTAACCCGTCGTCTATTGGTGTTCTACACCTATCCGTCTTGTCTGCGACTATGTGCAACTTTTTGTACTTCCTGTGATCTTTGCAACCTCAGCCAAGAGTAGTATTTTGAAAACATTCCCTATACAGTAAGTCGTATGGTCTAATGGTTATGATTTCCCGTTCACATTGATGTGTTCAAAGTCCCGGGAAGGTTCCGTGTTCGATCCACGGTACGACTATAACGTTTCTCTTTTGCTTAATTGCCACAGTGAAATTCACTAGAAGCTTTTGTTTTGCTTCTCCGAACCTTTGTCTATTTATAAGGGATCTGTTCCTGTTCCCTTAAGCATGAGGAGGGGTCAATTACCCTAGTAGGAGGCGTGTATCATTTTGCATTCAAATTGAAATATCGAGCAGAATTTTGTTCCTTTAAATTATTTGTTATTATAGAGATGATAAATTCGTTATTTTAATGAAAGCGCCTCTCGTCTTCAATTGCCGAGAGTCTGATGTGGGATGTACTACAAATAACTTACAAGCAACTAAGCTTTTGGTTTGATGTTCTTATGGGAAGCCATGAAACTAGCCCTATAGAATTGTGTCCCTGATTCGACTGTATCAAAAAAAGTCAATTACCCTCAATAGAAACGGAAGTATAGATGACTGTCGTAGCATACTACTATCTATCAAGATTCTCGGGTTAGAAGCGCTTGAAATGATCGAATCTGCAAAGGTCCGGTTTTATGAGATTTATTTACTGTTATCTATTATATAGATATCCTTCAAGACGACTCGATATCACCAAATCTCTTCCCAAAAGCTAGCGTCCCTCCAACCAGCTTTCCAACGGTATATCCAGCATAGATACCGCACAGAATCGTCACAGGCCATTTCTGCCACTCGCGGTCCCAATCAAGCGGGATCGGGACGGCTCCCAGCCAAGCTCCCACACCTGCGCCTACCAGGCCGCCGAACCCCTCGTCGAAAGGAGCCCTCGCGCCTAAGATCTCAATCCAGTCGCTTCCGACGACACCGCGGGTATAGAACAATGGATATAGCCCCAGGAGCGACAGATGGAGAGAGCAGAGAAAGGTATGCGGGAGATGCGTCAGGAACGGGGCGCCGAAGAGCACCAACAAGACGTGGAGCGCGCCAGCGGAAACGATAGTCAACACGAAGGCCACGAGGCTCGTCTGGTGATTAGTTTAGTGTTAGCTCCCCCACTGATAATCGAATAATAATCCCAAGAAAACCTACCACAGCAAGATTGGGCCCAGCTGTTTCTGAGCCTGTCCTCTTCTTCTCGCCGGGTCGCAATTTCCGGTACGTTTTTGTTCCTTGCGAGCCCGCCGCGGGGAGGCAAATAACCGTATATGTCGCCTGTAATGCCAGGACCACGGGCAGCGAACTCTGCATCGTTGATACGGGATCGGCTACTAGCGCGCGGAACCGTATCGCGAATAGAGCAAGGAGAATAGCCGGGTGCGCATGACGCAGCGATTGCGCTTCCGGAGAAGGTATTGTTCGGACCGCCTGCATCGGTGCATCTGTCTCTTTGGGCTTCGCCAGCTCCTGGGCTGGGACTCCTTTCCCTGAGGTTTGCGACATACTGCCTACTATTCGATTGACAGGCTGTGCCTAGGGATATTACGCTCCTGGCGAATCGAGTAGGTCGGTGGGTTCTATGCGACAAATCGAATTGCAATTAGGTAGCTTGGATTGTATTGTATGAGCATAAAATCAATGAATGGACGATGCGCAGAAGAGCACATTAAGGATTAAGGGTCCTGATCAGCAGCAAAAGCACAGCGGTAGCTTAGTAGACCTACAGCATAACTATCGATAGCTGATAAGCTGATATGGGAGCTCTCCCACCATCCCACCTGGAAGATAAGTTAAAGTGACGACATGCACTTCAACGTCCAAGTTTGGTGTAATAATAGCTTTAGTTACATGTTTGGGCATGATAACTCTTGTCTCTAACCACGTCTAGTTCTTTCACGACACGCCATCCAGTGAGTAGCAAAATTATGGCCATTAGACCTAGTTCTAAGCTCCAAAATCTTGAAATCACTCAGTCTTAGGGAGTAGATTTCGTAGGGAGAGATCGTAGATGACGTCCTCCACCTTCTTGACATGATACTTAACGGCATCGACGCGCTTCCGCACAATGTCGTTCTTAAGATTCAGTAGCTGAAAGCCTGCGAACAGGTCCTTGATGAAGCTGCTGATGCGCACTGTCAGTGCTACGTCGCCCAATGTGACCGAGTTCATGGCGAGCCGACTGAGCTCCTCGGTGATATCGGTGAGCGCCAGTAGATACTCTTCGATGGTGACATGGAAGGCGTCTCGGTCCTTGAGGTTAACGGGCACTGCGTCATGACCATGTTAATAGATATGTTTCTGAAGTAGTGAACCACTAATGATGTGCTGCATCTGGACATCACGCACCCTTTAGGATCTCGCCAACATCCTCAATAGTCAAAAGGCGACCCAGCTCGCCGGGTCGAGACTCAGTGCCCATGCCACCGAGCCAGCCTGTGAGGAGGATCGTGCCAACCACATTCTGAACGCTGCGGGTCCATTTATTGTTGTATCTGCTCTCGAGTCAGAATCTGTTGTGTACCTAGAGAGGGGTCATGACCATGGTATGCACGTACTTGTAGTACGGATACTTAGATGCAAACTGGGCGAGCTCTCCCACGCCCTCAATCTCGGGCTGGATACCGGTCTCTTCTATCTGCTTGAGCAACGGAGGCACTGATTAGAGCCATTAGCAAACAGCGACAATGGAAGAAACCGTACTATCGAGATAGATACTGCCTACATTTTGAGCTTGGTGTGGAGTGAATACGACTGAGGAGGCCTTGGCAGGTAGAGATGTTGCGGTTGAGAGAGGCAGAGATTTGGTGAAGCCTGTCGCCAACCTCGATCTCCTCCTCGCCATGAGCTTTCAGATACTCGATGATAGCAGGGTCGATCATATTGGAACTATTGTTGCTCGCCATCTTGTCTTGACTTTTGTGTGGCTGATCAATGAGATGGAAAGTGGTGTAAATAGTGGAAATTTCCGCCTGATGTGGGCGCGTTTGTTATTAAATGATAACCTCTACCCAGTGCAAAGTATTTGAACATCCCGAATTACAATCACATTGAAAATAAAAAAGGCATTTGGGACAGGCAACATCTCAACATCGCGCCTGCATACGCTCTCTAGCTTGCGACCCTACGTTTGGGACGTTGCGTAGGATCTCAAATAGTTTACCTAGCTACCTAGCCAATTACAGTAACCAACCATGATCCAAACTTGTCACGAACCTCGCTGAGACTCGTCAACTTACCGAAATCATGCTTCGAAACAAACGGGGACAACTCTTCTTCACATCCACAGGCACGCTGTAGATTGCAATGAAAAGTAAAGGTTCGCGTCGCCTGGAGGCAGTGTAATACCAGGGACACGGTGGGAGCGATCATGCGCAAGCACAGAGGATGCGCTCCCGGGAGGAAAAAATTAGAATAATCACGATTGAGTCCAGTAGGACTCTTTCAGAGATTAAACTGAAAAGAACAGATACTACACTTGATCTAAGCCAAAAGGCAAAGAGAGCTAAAGAAGAAAAGAAGAAACAGTCAAATTCTGGGAGGGGGAGCGAGAATTTATACCCGTGGGACAGACGGGCTAAGGCGGTGCAGGGCGGCAGAAAGTGATTGTGGACCGTGCGCCCTTCCTGCCTGCACGTAATTGCCTGGAAACTTAAAGCAGGTAAGTACCTTATTCTAGGCAGCTACCTAGGCAGGTATCTATGTACCTTAGGTAGCTGCCTACAGCACATCATCACCTAGTCACGAGAAATACATAGCCCAGACTAGTAGATTCTGACACCGAAATGGGCTCATTGTTGTGCTACATTTGCATATTTGTCACTTTAATTGCGTTCAGTGTCATAAACTATGACTGTTATTGCTTCTTTCATCTAGACGCTGTTACAGGATATTGCTTTTGTAATGTGGGTTACATTTGTACAGTCAGACTCCTTGGAGCGAATCTAGTTCTACATGATAGTAGTATACACATGGTATTTTCATACACCTAGCGCCTCATGAGTGGCTGGTGCTGGTGTCTCCTCGGCGGAGGCTTTGACAATGACTGACCCAAGCGGGCAGTGGCCATTTCGGCAATCTTGGGAGTCACAGGAGTGCTAAAAAACGCGTTAATCTTTTCCGCGCCGTTCACCAGCGTGCCCTCCTCTTCCTTCGCTTGGTCTAGTAATAAGGCTTTCTGCCTCGTGTCCTCGAGGAACCGTCGTCGTTCCTCCGTCATTCGCCACTCCTTTGGGAATTTGGGCTTGACCTTGAAAGTGTGGTGTCTTGTGTCCAGCGGGACATCCTCAAACATATCGGTGGGGTCCTACAGCAGCGATTCGGCTAGTGAGCAGCCTCTTCGACAGAAGAACATGGGGGAGCATATCTACCTTTGCCTGTGCAACTAGTTTGTTCACAAGGTCACCAAGATACCTTTTATTCTGTGCCACGTGTTCGAACTGTTCGCAGCTCATCTTGGCGATATCGGTCTCAGGATTCCACCGTGATCCCAACAACTTCCTTAACTTCTGCCGTTGTGCTTCATCGAGAGGCAAATCTTCTGGGGAGAATTCAACCACGACCTTCTTCTCCGCAGGGTGGAACTCTCCCATATAGCTGGTATATCGAAATCGCAAAGGTTCCTGGGCGGTAGGTGCCTCGAAAGGAGTGGCCAACTCTGTAAATGATTTAAGCAACCGGTATACGGTCTTGTTGCGATGTGCGGCGCTTACTCGAGAGAAGAGGCATCTGCCAGGCAGCAATACGAGCGTACTCCCTATATTCGCGGAATTCCTCAAACTTGGCATGTGCTAGAGACATGATATCGTCCTCGTCAAATTTGTCGGTATTACTTGATTCCGCGTGAATGAGGTCGGAATCAGCTTCGCCATCCATCCAAAACCGATTAGGCCTCTCGGTATTTCGCATTGCTTCGGTAACAGTCTCGCCCATGGCACCAATGACACGCTCCTGAAGCCGCCTAGCCTTGTTGTAATCGCCATCCTGGCGCATTTGCGTGAGGGCACGCTGGAGCTCGGCCGGGTCGATTTCTTCGCTGGCGTCAATTTCCTCTATCTCGTTTTCGAGCTCGTCCAGGTCGTCTTTCTCGGCTGCAGGTTGACGCTGGAAAGGTGTCGCAGAAAAGGATCGTATGGCG